ATCTTGTGAGCCTGGGTGGTGCCACCACCTTTTTTATGCAGTGTGTGGGATAGGTTCAGATAACCTGTGCAGGCTGCTGTCATTTAGTGCCTGCCACCGGCCCCCGAAAATGAGTGCCATGGCTTTGCAGATGAGAAGCTGAGGAACACAAAGTTCTGGCTTGCCAGTGTCACACAGCTAGGAAACTTGGGGTGGGCCAGCCCCAAGTTTTATTTCCATGCTTGTTCTTCCTTGTGCTAATGCCTGTCCCTGCCACCAGGCCCTGAGGATTGTGCTGCACAGCCTGGATCTGCATGCCAACTGCTACCAGCGCTTCATCGTGCCCCTGCTCAGCATCAGCGCTGACTTCTATGTCCGGGTGTTTGTGCGCGTTTTCACAGGCCAGGCCAAGGTTAAGTTCTCAGCCAGGTAAGCCTAGGGGAGAGGAACCTGATGAATTGAAGGAGAAGAAAAGGTTCTAGGGGTCTTGGTGTCAAAAAAGTCACTGAGTTGGTCTGACATTAAGAACTGAGGTATAGTGACCACATGAGGAACTCACAGCCTCTCCTGGACTTCCACAGCAAGCAGGCCCTGGTGTTCCAGTGTGTGGGTTGCGGAGCCTTCTACTTGCAACGCCTTGGCAAAGCATTGGGAGAGCCTGGTGGCAGGTGAGCAAGCGGGTTTGGGATTGGAAGGGGGATGGCCTAGGTCCCCACTCCTTCAACTGCCTCTCCTTGCAGGGTCAAGTTCTCTGTGGCCTGTGGTCCTCCGGTGCCCCCTGAGTGCGAGCACTGTGGACAGCGACACCAGGTGGGCCCAGGTCAGAGGCAATGGGCCCCAGGTCCCAGCATTCATGCATTCACGCCCCTTGCTCATCTGCACCTGCTGTCCACAGCTTGGAGGCCCCATGTGGGCAGAGCCCATCCATGACCTGGACTTCGTGGGCCGAGTTCTTGAGGCAGTGACCACTAATCCTGGCCGTTTCCACACCTCCAAGCGGATCCAGGGTGTCCTCAGTGTTGTCACTGAGGTATGAGCTGGACCTAAACAGGGAGGGGGCCCTTCTGTGCATACCTTTCTGCCCACACTCCATGCTACTCCATCCTTACCTCTCAGGAACTTCCCGATGTCCCTCTCTACTACACACTGGACCAACTGAGCAGCACCATTCACTGCAACACGCCCCGCCTTCTGCAGCTCCGGTGAGGGCCTTTTGGGGCAGCCCGAACTGTCAGTCTAGTGTGTGCTTAAGGCAGAGCTGCGAGGTCATGAGCCCTCCAGCAGGCGCTTTGTTGTGTAATTTATTATGTGTGTGTGTTTTGTCTACGTGTGTAAGTACACCATGTGTAGGCAGTGCCTGGGGAGGCCTGAAGACGGTGTCAGGTTTCCCAGAACTGGAGTTAACAGAAGATCGTGAGCTGTGATATAGATGCTAGGTTCCAAACCCAGGGTCCTCTTCAAGAGCAGGGACTGGTCTTAACCACTGAGCCATCTCTCCAGCCCCCGAGAGGTGGTTTTGATATAGGTTGCTGTGAAAAAAAGCAGCCATGCCATTCATTCCATGTGACTTGGCTTGTGCCCATCTGGGTCTGCCTATGCTTGGGGTCTAGCCTCCCTTTTGTGGTCTCTGTGCACCCAGGTCAGCTCTCCTCCATGCTGGCTTCCGAGTCTCTCTCTCCCATGCCTGTAAGAATGCAGTGAAGACGGACGCTCCCCCAGCAGCTCTCTGGGACATCATGCGTTGCTGGGTGAGGGCAGGTGACCCGTTGGTTCCAGGCAGGAGGGCAAGGAATGGCGGTGGCTTAGATGCTCCTTGGCCTTAGCATCTCCTCAATGTCTGTCCCCAGGAGAAAGAGTGTCCAGTGAAACGGGAGCGGCTGTCCGAAAGCAGCCCAGCATTCCGGATCCTTGCCGTGGAGCCCAGGTACAGACAGGCATGCAGGAGGGGACAGGCTGCCCCACAGGTCATAGGCACATGTGCAGAGGACAGGCACCATTCAAGGGAAAGTCAGAAAACATTTCCCACCTTCTGTCCTCACTCTGCCCTTCCCACTCTTTCTTGCACCGTCTGTTCTTCAGCCATACATACCTGTGATATCTGGGTCAGCTTACAGAGCACAGAATCCTCCATGGCTATGCTCTCCTCTGTGGCTGCCTAAGCCCAGCACACAGTCTGATCCACCTTGGGTCTTTTGCCCAAGCCCTTCCCTCTCACCTCAGAGAAGCCTTCTGGACTGGACCACCCTGTCAAGTGTTGCATTCCAACTTAGATCTTTTACTAAAAAGTTATTGAGTGGCATGTCTTAACAAAGTATACTTTTATAATTTTTATTTCTTTGTAGTGCTGGGGATAGAACTAGAGCCTTAAGCATGCTGGCAAGCTCTGGACCTGGGCCATACCCCTAGCCCTAGTTATTTCTGATTTGTCTTGTTGCTTGTCTGACTCTGCTGCTGCAAAATCAGCTCCACCTGGGCAGATCCAAGCCACTTTGTCAGAAACTCACTAGGAAGTTCAGGTGTTTAGGCTGAGCCTGGCAGACCTGTGGTGCTGCATCAGAGTGGGCAGGTTCTGGGGCTGTGTTCACCCTACATGGCTGCTGCCTCCACCCTCCACCCATTTGTCCAGGCTGAAGGCCAACTTCAACATCCGGGAAGACGCTAACCCCAGCTCCCGCCAACGAGGACTTAAGCGCTTCCAGGCCAATCCTGAAGCCAACTGGGGTCCCCGGCCCCGTGCCCGGCCAGGGTGAGTGGTGATGTTGTAGGTGAGGCTTTTCCAGGGTCTGGTTGGGCAGAGTTAAAGTGGGGTACCAGCCCCTCTCTCTGCACAGGGGCAAGGCAGCAAGTGAAGATCTAGAGGAGAAGCGGAGGCTGCTACAGAACAAGCGGAAGGAGCCAGCCGAGGACCCAGCCCAGCGAGCAGCACGCCTCAAGACATTTCCTTGCAAACGATTCAAAGAGGTGATTCTCTTTGTCCATCCTCCCTGCAACAGGGCCAAGGGACAGGCATCAGTGGCACAGCAGGGGCTAGGGACTGAGGAGAGAGACCCAGCCCTTGCTCACAGCCTGCTACCTGACACCCTGCCTTCTCTCCCCAGGGCACCTGTCAGCGAGGGGACCAGTGCTGTTACTCACACGGCGCTCCTGTGGCCTCTGCTGATCCCCCCCTCACAGACTGTGCAGAGACTGCCACCGAGATCTCCCCTGGACCGGAGGCTGATGGGGCCACTGCTGGGCCAGGTGTAGACTGAGACAATAAAGAGATGTAACCTGCCGGTTGTCATTTTGATTGGGGAGGCGTCTGCCTGGAGGACCTTGCCTGTCTGAGGGGTTGTTCCTGCCTCATGGCAGCTTTATGTCTGGAAACTCATCTGGCAGCTCAAGAGCGCAGTTCATCTGGTGGCCACAGGGCGGCAGCTGCAAATAGGCTCATTACCCGCAGACTCCCCTCCTCCACGCTCCAGGCATTTCCCCCACCTCCCCAGCACTGAACAAGTCCCCTGCCGTCTCAGTCTCATTTCTACTGCCTGGTTTCTTGGGCTCAGCTCTCTCCAGTTGTATAGTGGCGGAAGCCAAACCGGAACCAGGGACTCTCTGCATCCGCTGCAGACCAGGTGCTTCCTGCCTTGCCTGCTCAATAGGGTTACGCTCGCTGAGAACCCGGGCCAGCGGCTGCCCCAACACCCGCTGAAGAGATGCTCTGGCCCCTCCCCCTAGAGGAGAGGGTTAGTAATGCTAAAGGGGGAGTCCTGGGGTAGAATCTTCTGGCACATACCCCTTCACTACAAGCTGTAAAGTGAGGCTCACTATAACAAGCTTGACTGGGTGCTGCACTTCAGTGCTTAGCTGAGGTTGGATGGCCAGGGCGTTTTCCTGTGTATTCCTACAATTAGCCAGATATATTACATGGGGACATAGGACAGATATACTGTACTGCCTAGAGCTCGGCTTCTCTTGGAAGACTTTTTTTTTTTTTTTTTTTTTTTTTTTTAAGACAAGGAGATCGGAGGCATGTGCCAGCATTCCTGGCCCTCTTGGGATCTCTCAGCTGGATTTCCAGGATATTTTAAAGTTTATTTTTTTTTCAGAGCTGAGGACTGAACCCAGGGCCTTGAGCTTGCTAGGCAAGCACTCTACCACTGAGCTAAGTTGCCAGCCCCTTTTTATACCGTTTTAAAAGATTTATTATTTCTCTGTGTCTGTCCCTCTCTCCTATCTCTGGTTTTCAGAGACAGGGTTTCTCTGTGTAACGGAGCCCTGGCTGTCCTGGACCTGCTTTGTAAATTGGGCTGGCCTCTAACTCGGAGATCTACGGCGGGCTGGAATTAAAGCTATCATTCTCTTTCTGTATCTGACTGTTTTCCCTGCACAAATGTGTGTGCGTGCACAATGTCTGGTGCCCTCAGCTAAGAGGGTGTCGGATTCCTGCAGCTGGGGGTAGGGATGGTTGTGAGCCACATGTGGATATTGGTAACAACCTGAGTCCTCTGCAAGAGCAACAAGTGCTCTTAACCACTGAACCATCTCTCCAGTCCCCAGGTTTGCAGAATTCAAAATGTCACTCGAGAATACCCGTCAGCAAGGCCACCGCCCAGTTCCGCTGTGGCTTGGCATCTTGGGGAGCTCTCAAGCAGCTTCTGGGAGCCTCAGGGGCTTGACGCTCATCTCTCCTCTCTAGGCTTGGAACTATGTGGGAAGTGCCACAGGGCTAAGGACACCTGCGCAGCAGTGTTAGGAAACTGCAAGTCCACATTACCAGAATGGCCTCCTTCCGGAGCCCTATTCCTGGGTGTGTGTGTGTGTGGTGGTGGTGGTGAGCTCACGAGGGATCTGAGAAAAAGAGGAACCAGGCTGGAGGCTGGGGCCCATGGGTCATGGGGCCTCAGAAGTCCGGAAAGGGGCCCCTTCCACCCCATCAGCACAGTCGCTGGGCAAGGGGTGGGGTTCAAAGCCAGACCAACCACAGAGGACAGCAGAAGCTGCTTTGCCTCATTTCCCCTTTGCGTGCCTTTGGCGCTGAAGTCTCCTGAGGGCTGGGGTCTTCCAGTGCCTAGGGGAGCAACAAGCCCTGAGGGGTGACTGGCCAGGACGGGGTGGGCCAGGAGGTGCACGCTCCGTGATCCCTGCCCGCTGGTTTCCTCCCGGGTCAGCACGGCTCCTTATCAGGCGTGGCCAGGCAGCCAGAGCCTTATCTACACCGGCCCAGCATCCTCTGGCCTCTGAGCCAGGGGGTAAGAGGGAGGAAGCTAGGCTGTCGGGGGCGGGGGGCGGTTAGGGCGGGCCGGTCCAGGAGCGGCTCACTTTCTCTTTGGGCACCCACCACCACGACTCTGAGCTGCTCAGGCCCTCCGGAGCCCGGGAGGTGGCGCAGCCCAGCTCTGAGAGGCCCAACCGGAGTACCTAGGGCACACTGGCCGGAGCGGACAGTGGAAACCGCCTCCTGACCTGGATTGACAGCCCTGACCACACAGCCGGGCCCTCTGGGCTGCGGGAACTGCTACAGGGTAAGAACAAGGCTTTGAAAGTTAGAAGGGAGCGCCTGCGCCTGCATTCTGTGCTCATTAGCTCGCTTATTCATTCATTCGCTGGACGCGCTAAATGAGGAGCGGGGGGAGCTTCTCCAGTTGGGGAAGACAGACGGGAGGGTGGGAGCCACATGCTGACAGGACACCCAGACCCTGGGGTCCAGCAAACATGTTAAAGTAGGGTGCAAAAATCCTGGTGCTGACGGGGTTGGGAGCTTCTAAGAGGAAGTTTCAGCAAGGGTAGAGCCCCTGAACAACGGAGAGGTGGGCTGCAGGTAGGGGAGGTTCTGGGTGATGAAACTTAGCTCAGAGACTGAGAAAGAAGCCCTCACAAAGGCGGAGTCGATGCTGCCTAGCCCCTCGTAGGCAGCCCCTCTGGGGAAGAGCCCTCGTTCCATGTCCTTGCAGTTTCTAGGTCCACCTTTCTGCCTTTGACTACCGGACCCCCAGCCCCTTTCTCTCCTCGTGGTGGGTGCTCTTACATTGAAGAGCTGTTAGGTCAAACAGGAGGTTAAGAGATGAGGTCTTTGGCTTTTCTTGCCAGTAACTCTGCTCCCTCCCACAGGTTAGCGCTCCATCCTCGGGGCCCATGTGCCCACCCCAGGCCCAGGCAGAGGTGGGTTCCGCCATGACTGAGAAGACTGAGATGGCATCTGCTTCTAGCCCAGCACCTGCTCCTCCCCCTAAGCCGGCCTCACCTGGGCCCCTGCCTGCAGAGGAGGTGGAGCAGAGAAACACCTGCACCCCCTGGCTGCCTCCAGGTGTGCCAGTTATAAATTTGGGTCACACCAGGCCCACAGGGGCAGCCATGGCCACCACAGAGCTCAGTGCCCTTCGGCCCTCCTTGCTGCAGCTAGCGGCCTTGGGAACAGGTCCACCAGCCCTGGCCCTGCATTACCACCCTCACCCCTTCCTTAACAGGTCAGCGGGGAGCCGGAACCCAGGGCGGTGCCGGGGGTGGGGTCAGGGTCTTTGTATACAATGTGTTCATAACCCACAACCCTTACAGTGTCTACATTGGGCCAGCAGGACCCTTCGGCATCTTCCCTAACAGCCGGCTGAAGCGAAGACCAAGCCACGGTGAGCTGGACTTGGCTGACGGTGAGTGTGTGTCTATGTGTGTACTCTCGGGTGCCTACAGCCCATGTCTGAGTAACCTGTACTCTGCCACGGGGAGAGGTGGTTTGTGGGGTGCAACACAGGACAACTCACACAAGTGTCAGCTAATGCTAACAGTACTGAGCCTAGCTTGAGGGCTTACTCCCCCACCCCACCCCTGATCCAGACTGAGGCAGGAGAACCAGTTTAGAGGGCAGCCTGGGCTACATCCTGAGTCCCCAACAAGCCAAGCATTATAGCCAGAGTCATGCCACAATAGGACACTGCAGCCACAACCCCTGAAAACACAGTCATGAGAGACAACCCTGGATTAGGATCACAGAGCTATGAGACCACAGTCAACCTCAGAACCCCAGCCACACATACAGCAGCCACCAACCACATGCCATGATCCCACACAACCACAGCCATCAGATAGGCCACCAGCCACCCACAGGCCCACAGCAGGCAGGAGAGGACCTCTGAGAACCCAGGAACATGCTTGCTTGGATGAGGCCACCGGATAAACTTCTTAAGGGATCCCATCGTTGTCATCAAAGCATTATCAGGCTCAGCCCTGATGTCTACACAGCACAGTCTGGGTTCAAGCCCCACGTGGGTGCTGGCTGGGTTCAGTGAGGAAGCAGCGGGTGCCCTGTGGCCTCTTCGCTGACGATATCCCTTGGGTCCTCAGGGCACCAACCCCAGAAGGTGGCTCGGCGCGTGTTCACCAACAGCCGGGAGCGCTGGCGGCAGCAGCACGTTAACGGCGCCTTCGCAGAGCTCAGGAAGCTGCTGCCCACCCACCCGCCCGACCGGAAGCTGAGCAAGAACGAGGTGCTGCGCCTGGCCATGAAGTACATCGGCTTCCTGGTGCGGCTGCTGCGAGACCAAGCGGCTGTGCTGGCCTCCAGCCCCAGCGCGCCCGGGCCCCGCAAGCCCCCTGCGCCCCGGGGCGCGGAGGGCGGCGCGCGCTGCGGGGCCGGACAGAGAGCGGAGGCTGCCTGCTCGCAGCCCGTGCTTCCTGGGGACTGCGACGGCGACCGCAACGGGTCGGTGCGACCCATCAAGATGGAGCAGCCGGCCCTGAGTCCTGAGGTGCGGTGACCTCGGGCAGTGGTGCCTCGCCTGCTGCTCAGTGAACTCCCTGCAAAAGGACCGAGGTCGCGCAGATGAGGAAACGCCCTGCCGCTGTGGAAGGGTGATGCCGACTGCAGGGGGCCCCCGCAGGCTTAAAGAAATTCCCACAGCTACTTGAGGTGGCTTTGCCAGGGTCCTCTTACCTGGGCCGAGGCCAGACCATCCACGAGGCGGCGGGGCCGCGGGGGAAGGGTGTCCGCGGCGCCCCCTGCCGGAGGGAGGCGGGAAGCCCCCTGGACCAGCGTGTGGGAGGACCTGCCCCTGCGAGCCCCGCTCGGTGCGCGGGATCCTCCACCCTGTTAGCCAAGTTGACGAAGACTCGGGCACTCTTGCGTTTGTTTTTCTTTATTTCTTTATTTCACATACACATTAGCCATTCAATGGAGAAGCCGGAGAGAGTCAGGCAAAGATGGTATAACAGAAGCGCAGTGACGGGGGTGGGGCGGGCGGGCGGAGAGGGGACAGACGGGCTGGCTGCCTACTTGCATTCCGCTAGGACACTGAAAACCCAGAAAACAAAACAGACAGTAAACTACCCTTGTTTCTTATGTATCTCAGTGCAGAGACGGGGGTGGAGGGCAGAGAGGGGAGACCAGGCTGAAAGAGGAGCAGAGGGGAAGGGACGCTAAGGGGGAAGCACACCAAATCCATTAGTACTATATATAGAGATACTCGTATATACTGCGTTTCTTAGCCTAAGAAGAAACTTGTTTGACGGGACGGGCGGCCTTTGCGGTCCGCGATGCTGGTGCTGGTGGGGCGCACGGATCTCCCAGGAGGGGCCAAAGCGGGGGCTGGCCCCGGCTGGCTTGCGGGGGGGGGGCGCCCCGAGGGTGGACGGGGTTGGGGGAGCAGAGGTGGGGCTGGGGTGCCCCTAGGGCTCTCGATTGGGGGACAGAAGTTCTCATAACTTTATTGCTCCTTTATTTTTCTCTCGTGGGGGGTCCGTTCAGCACGGTCAGGGTGGGGAAACGGTGGGTCGTCTGAGCCACCCGGCCCCTCTGGGACCCAGAGCGCGGCGTCCCGCCAGCACGGGGGTGAGAACAAGGCACTAGGTCGGCCGGCCAGCGCGGGGGCGGGTGTGTAAGGCAGTCCACAGGGCTGGTGTGCGGGGTGGGGTGGGGATGTGTGCCGGGCTGTGTGTGTGCGTGCGTGCGTGCGTGCGCGGGCCTGGGCAAATCGACCTGTCAGCGTGGCTAGACCTGTCCTGGAGCATCGAACCTCCCGAGGGAGGGGGAGGAGTGGTGTTACGTGGAAGGGGTCGGGGAGGAAACTACCAACTTGCTGAGCGCGCTCCTTATTAATGCTGGTGAGGGTCAAGTTGGCGTCTGGCTCAAAGAAGGGCGCTCGGAGTGGGAAGGGAGGGAAAAGGGACGTTTGTTTGTTGGCATCGACCTCTGCTGGGGAGGGGGCCGGACCCCCGCCGCGCCCCAGTGCCCGGAGGGGGAGGGGGCGAGAAGGGGGAGGGGGCGCCTGGGGAGACCCGCGGCCAGAGCAGCCCAGCCGCGGGGCGCACGCCGCTGTCCCGTTCCGTTAAACTCAACAAAGAAGGGATATGCGTGTTCCTAACAAGTGCGGAGTATTTGATTCATAAACGTATGTATAATAGTTTGTGGGTTTTTTAAAAACGTACTTTATAATGTAATAAGCACCAGGGTTTTTATGTTTAATTATCTTAAAAATAATTTTCTCTCGTCCTTTTCCTTTTGATCTTGTGTTGGTTTTTTAAATGTCGAGGCGTTTTTTTAAAATATAAACTGAACTTTTTCTTCAGCCCTCCCACTGAAACCGAACGACGAAAACAAATTAAAACCCCAGATTATCCTCGTCAACGCAGGAAAACGGCAAAAAACCAACCAACCAATCAAACAAACAAAAAAACCCAGAAAACTATCAAAAAGGAAAAAAAAAAAAAAAAAAAAAAAAGAAAAAGAAAAACACTCAGCTTTGATCCCCGCTAAGGGCAGGGCAGGCCCAGTTCTTTTAGCGTCCCCAGAGCCGCGAGGACATTACAACAAAAATAGATTTTTTTTTCTTAATCTCTTAACATACAAAGATAGGAAAACTCTCTGATGCATTGCACTTGGTTCAAACGAAAAAAAAAAAAAGGTTAATTTTCCCTATATTTTTTTTTTGTGGGTTGTTTTCTCTCCTAACACGTCCCCACATCTGTCGCCCTCACCGTCCCTGCCTGCCCCTCACAACACCACTTGGGAAGGAGCGCCACCCCCACCCCGTCTTCCCAGGAGTACCTCGCCAGGCACCTTGGGCCCCGGCCCAGCTGGCCTGCAGCTTCTGACCTCGCCCGGGGCGTGTGCCCCGCAAACCCACAGAGCCCGCAGCCCGACTGTCCTCGGCCGGACCGGAGAGGCGCACGGGCCGGGCAGGGACCCTCTTTCGATAGCTCTTAGCTCTGACCCTGTTTAGCCAACCGAACTGAAAAATCATTGCACTTTGACCGCGCGTCACGCCCGGCCCGCCCGGCCCCCCACCCTGGGGCTCCCCTCCCCTCGCACAGGGAGGCCCCCTCCCCCTGCGGGATCTCCACCCCGGCCCTCGACGCGGCAGGGGAGGGCTGCGCTCAACTTGACTCAGAGCGCCCTGACAGCCACTTCGCAGCCCGGAGCCCCCCTGCCAGCGCAGCGGCCACTCGCCGGCTCACGGCCGCAGCCTCACCAACTAGATTCTCAATAAATAAAGCCCACAACCCATCCCCACGTGGTGCAATGTTGGACCGACTTTCGGAGGATCCTGACCTGTGCTTTGTGATTTCATACCGGAGAGAGAGGCGCAAGGCCTTGAGGATAGGCCTGGGAGGGGAGGTGGAGAGAAGGGAGGGCTAAGGCACAGAAAGACAAGCCAGAGGGGCCCAGTCACCCTGCAGGGGGGCTGGCGTGCTCGCGTTCCCCTCCCAGGGGGCTTCTCAAGACCCTCTGGACAAGCCTCCACCATCCCTTGCAGGAGGAGGGGGCTGGGAGGAGAGCTGCTTCCTGTGGTGTGTTACGAAATTGTTCCCAAGTTGCTCAAACAGAGGAGGAGTTCCCAACTGCAACAGCGAAAGACCCAAACAATGACTGCCCCACCCCTAAATAAAGAGGGAAGACATTACAGCTAAAATCAGGGGAGAAGTGGCCGCGAGGTGTGGTGGGAAGGGAAGGGGACCAGAAAGCTCCAGAACGCTCTTTTAGAAGGATGAAACCCCCAACCCTCCACAGGAACTTAAAGTCTCGAGAGCAGGACGCCTACCTAGCGCAGGTGGAGGCTGCCTTGTCTTCCTCGCTCGGCTCCGAGGCCCTTTCTGCTCATTCTCTGCCGGCCCCAGGAGGGCTGTAGGCGGCAAGGGCAGGGGCAGGGCAGAGGGGCGGAGCGAGGGCACCTGCATGCAGGGCTGGGGTGCGGGGCGACCTGGGGCCAACTCCCTTCACTAGGGGCGTGGCAGAGGGCAGCCCTCGCGGCCCGCGGGGATGGAAGAGGGTGCCTCCGCCGGGCGGAGCGTCCAGTACAGAGCATTCTGACGTTCCTGTGTGCTGTACAGAGGGGGTCCAGCCCAAGAGCTGCCCGTGCGGCTCAGAGTGGGGTGGCAGAACACCCTCCATTCTGGACCGAAGCTGACTTAAGCTAGCTCCAAGGAGCATCCCTGGCCACCTTGGGACCGCCCTCGCCTGGTCCGGAGCAGCTGGGGACAGAAGCCTGCGCAGAGGCTCCCGGGAAGGGCCAGAGGGAGAGGAGGGAGAGGCGCAGTCAGGAGGGGAGCTCGGACGTCTACTCCCGTCTTTACGAGCTTGTTCCTCTAGGCTCCTGGGGAAACTTAGGTCCAGTAGAGGGCGGGGTCCCCAGCAACCGCAGGGGCGGCCGGCCAGCGAGCTGGCGGCTCGTGCCCGGGCAGGCTGGGCTGAGTAGGACGAAGGCAGTCTGTTGCATCCTTTCTTTCTGTTTGTCCTCTGCTTAGCAGAGTCCGCGTAGCATGCTTCTTTCTGCTTGGCTGCTGGTGTACAGCTCCGCTGAGACCCCTTCCAAGGGCTCCCAGAACTGGGCGGCTTTGGACCGCAGGGGTACCCGGGCTGGAGGAGGGAAGGGCTGAGTGGCTGACGAAGTCTAGGTTTTGCTTTTCGGTGGGGCTGGGCTGGGGGAATATTTCCATTTCTCAAAATTTCTTCTCCCCCCTTTTGAGGAACCTCTTTTTTTTTTTTTTTCTCCAATTTTGTTGTTTCTTTGTTGATCTTAATCAGAGGAACCAGGACTGAAACGGGACCAGAAAAAAAAAAAAAAAAGCGACAATGAGAACAGCTGGGCCAGGTCCCAATTCCCATCTCACCCCCACCTGGCCCTATGATCCTCAACCTCTACAGTGAGCTTAGGAGGAGGGGCCGGTGCTGGGCCTGGGCCGACCTCAATCGAGGAAGCCAGCTCATTCTCCCCATCCTCTGGGGGAATCCCCCCCAGACCCCAGTGCAAGAGTCCAGCTGGCCTTCCCGTGGGCACTGTGCCCAGCGGGGGGGCCCTGGTTGGCACTGGCACAGACCTGGGTTCTGGCCATGTTTGCAATTGTTTAGGTTTTTGTGTGGGACCTGGAAGGTGGGGAATATGCCAGGCTGGGGCTTTTGTACCCACAGGGGTTGGGGGAGGTAGGGTGGGGGTGGCCCAGCTTGAGTTCTTGCTGAGTTTTCTTTCTGTCTCTTTGGATTAAAAGCAGAAATTCACGTCTGTACATCCCAGCCAATGTCCTGTCCCTCAGGCTGAAAGAGTGGGGGCAGGGAACTACAGGGCTTCAGTTCCTACCAGGGCCAGGCCTGGGGGAGGGGGCCAGAGCCCACCCACCCACCCAGCACAGTCCTGGGCCTTCAGGGTTCCAGTCTTGGGAAGGAGCCTGAAGCACCCTGTGGTGGACACTGTTTCCCTAAGAAGCCAGCAGGGGGCGCTGTCTTCCCGTGTATAGGGCCCTGCTGGCAGTGAACACACAGTATACACACGGTGGACCCCTGGGGCTGGCTGCTTGGCAACCCCCTCCATCAAAGGCTCCACTCTGGTTTCCTGCCCAAGAGGGAGTGGAGAACTCTTCTCCAGACCTGTTCGTTGCTTGGGTGTCCCTGACAGTACCTTCACAACAAAATGAGGGTCCCTGATGTCACAGCTGTGGGCATCGACACTCTGTCATATAGACTTGGGTCCCTAGGACTAGGCAGAGCCAACTACACACACACACACACACACACACACACACACACACACACACACACA